CTGCCTTAACTGGAAGAAGCTTTTCTGCAGATCAGAGTTAATATGTTTATTAAACTTAAAATCAGAGTATTAAACCAACTTGAAATTGGTAACAGACTGCTTAAGATATGGCTGAAGAGAGTCCAGGTTTACAGGAACAGAGACAGCAGTAGAGCTAGGGCTTAACAGACTTCAATTTTCTGATCATTAAAACTTAAAACATTTAAATACATTTTAACAGAGGGTGAATGAAGAACTATTGGGTTTTAAGGACAGATAAATCTGACAATCATCAGCATAACAATGAAATGAAACACTGTTTCCTCAGGATAGACCCCAGAGAGGGAGCAGATAGAGTGAAAACAGAAGGGGTCCAAGAATCGAGCCCTGCGGGATCCCACAGGAAATTCAGGCGATTTTACAGATATTGAGCTACAGCTGTGTGTGGTAGTAGTAGCCCAGCACAGACTCAGAGCACTAACAGATCACACAAGAGCTGTGGTTAAAATGTTGGCATGCATGCAAGGTGGCGGGTGATCTGCACTCCTTCAAGTCGTGCCAGTTTCATTTATTTATTATCAACTAAGATGCTGTTTTTTGAGCATACAAAGAAAACGACCAATATTTCTGTAGCTGTTCTGATAATTTTATTTCTCTTGGGTGCTCATGTAAAGCTCCTTGGCCTTACAGGGTGAGTATAACATTTTCATAATAAGGTAAGATTAATTATTAATGAATAAATGGAAGACGGTGGCTTATATGGACGCTTGTTCCATTCCGGGTTAGGTTCCTCTTCCTTTGTTTCTATCTGAATGGAGCGTGCGTTGCAGGATACGTGCCAGTGTTTAGTTTTCCTGGACCTCATTCTGAATGAGGTCCAGGCAGAACAGTGTGATGTATACGACTTTAAACATGTTCCAGCACAAAGCAGCAGACGGGACTCAGGAGGCAGGTCAACGAGTTCATGTTGACAAAGATGGAGGAGCTCGAGAGGCAGGTTGTAAAGCAGAGGAGAGGCTGTGACTGTTTGAGCGTCGGAGGGGTTGAGCAATCAGTCAGAACTGCCAGGGCGTGGCTTTTCTGTTCGGTTAAAAAAGACAAAAGGATGATTCGAGGAATTAATTCACGTTTCCCTGAAAAATACCCACGTTGTGTCATACAAGCTGACAGAATGAAGGGAAGGAGAGCAGGAGGTGAGTGTCAGTGAAGAAAGAGGAGGCAAACCGAGCATAAATGAGCAAATGAGCAAATATCCAGGCAGAAGCCCACCATTTGAAGTGTTTAAAACATTTTCACAATACTGGATAACAAGTATAAAAAAAACAATTTATCTGAAACATAAAAAGCAATAAGATTCCTGGATCACCAAAATGAGACGTTCTTGATCCCAAAACAGAAAATGTGTAACTCAGTCAGTTACAGTTAGTAGCAGGTAGAAGACTAACAACAAATAACAACAAATTAAATTGAATGAATTTTAGACATACAAGAAACAATTTAACTGCTGAGCCTTCGGAGGTGCACACGAACGCGATGATTCCTTCACGTGCGAATCACCGTGGTTGAAGGTGATCATTGTGAAGAATCAAACACAAACAGGTTTTGTCCTGAACTTTATCAAACGGTGCATTTTAACAGAGTTTACTCGAGTACTTTGTCAGACGTGTTGCTGTAGCAGAGTGTAACGTGTTGCTAAACACCACAAAGATGGAGGAGTTGCAATGAAAATAGCTGAAGATAATTATTTTAATTAAAATAAGTGACCTGTGTGAGTCGGAATGAGCACATGCTGTGCAAAATAACTGAGAATAATGATAAGACACACACACACACACACACACACACCCGCGCTGCCCTCGGGTCAAAATGACCCACAAGGCCTCAGTGTTATGAATTTGGCCTTGGACTTAACAAAATGGCAATCTTTAAAGACATCTAGTGATCCCAGTAATTAAATATAATATGACTTCAGAAATAACACTTTGTCTTATAACCCTCATATTTTTCTTTTGAAATTAACTATTTTTCTCTGCCGTATGCTCTAGAGCTGGGAAATCCCTTTGTATAAAGTTTGGCCTCATTGCAAAGCTTAGACGTTACTTTTTGAACCATATAGCTGGAATTCTTGATGGCGTCACTCTTGACTGATACAAATCAAGTTTTCAGTGCTGAATTCTTGTAAACAAAACTCAGTTCTTGCTGGTCTGGTAATAAAGGAACATGCTTCAACAAACTGCGTATCTGACCCATTAGAACCATTTTAGAACTGCGCCGCTCGGGATGGCTGCAAGTTGGAGTACTGTTACCTTCATTTAAAGATTTTGCTTTTGGAAACTTTAATTCCTCTTTATCTGCATGTAAATCACCTTTTTTTGACGATTGTTTCCTCTGGTATCGGATGCTGTGCAGCTGGAAGGATTTTTATTGAAACTTGTTTACATTTGGACATTTGTTATTATGCGTAACCATAACAACAAGATGGTTTTTTTTTTTGTTTTATTATTGTTTTTTTACAACTGAGAGCAGCTGATTAACACATCAAAAGCTCAAATAATAGCTCAACTGCAGCCTCAAATCTCAAATGAGTTGAAAAGAAGGCGCCATGGATGCATTCCTGTCTACCTGCCGGCTGTGCGCGAGTGTTTGACCACTGATATCCTGGAACTGGCAGGAAACGTGGCTCGTGACAGCAGAAAGACCGAGATCATCCCCTGGCACCTGCAGCCGTCTGTCTGCAGTGATGAGGAGCTCGGTAGGCTGCTGGGAGGTGTGGCCATCACTCCGGGAGGAGTTCTGCCCAGCATTCAGGCGGTCCTTCAGCACAGGGGAACCGAGAGGCCATCCGAGTCAGGGTGGACGGATTGGATAGCATCTGCTGCCATTTTCTTCGCATCCACTGTGGGGCGGACCTTTACAAGAGATCCTTCCTGTCTACAGCCATCAGAATCTATAACATCTCTTAATGAAACAAGTTACAACAACATGATTTAATTTCCCTTTGGGATTAATAAAGTATTATTGGACTGAATTTAATTAACAAGAGAGACCTGTTTTAAACAAAGAGCACAGATGAGGTGCAGACAACAATAGACAATCATATAAAAAGAAAAGTAAATAGAATAAATTATATAAAAACTAAACAAAAAACAGCGACATTATAAAGCGATGTAAAATACTAAAAACAGGAACAGGTTTTTACCATGAATTTAACAGTTGTTTAAAATCCCTTTGGAAAATTTTGAAGCTTTTGAGATAAAAGTGTAAAAAATAATGACAACTCAATATTGAAAAAAATTGCCTGATTTTGCCAGCACACGTCACAAACATGTGGAAAGACCTCACTTAATTTAAATAAAGACAAAACAATTTCTCATTCATTCTATCAATGTAATGACACAAAGGCACTCTGGACAGATGTACAACAACTCATATGACAGAAAACTGGTAAATAATTCATCTTACAGAGAAAGTCTTGGCCAGGATTCTCTTGCAAAAGTGATTTTTAATCTCAGTGGGATTTGCCTGGTGAAATAAAGGTTAAATAAGTAAAATAAAAAAAGACATACTATGCTTCAATGAAAAGGACGTGGATAAAGACTTGATCTACTTCACCCAACTTCTACTTTTACACAAGAAACAGTGGTCAAACTCCAAGCCAAACATAATCCACTGCAGCAAGTAACTTTCCCTATACAGAACCACAATTAAGGGACTTAAAAACAAAAAGGCAATGAAAACCATGTCAATTCTAGAAAAACTTAATGTGAATTTATCTACGAATATAATCTGTAAATATGTTAAGAAATCAGGTCTCTCTTGTAAATGAGTCCTTGAGGCTCATTGGGATTAGCCTGTCTAAATAAATGTTGAATGAAAACTAGATTGTCATGTTCTTTTCAATTCAATTCAGTTCAAAAATACTTTATTAATCCCAAAGGGAAATTAATTGTTGTTGTAGCTCATCATCCTGGTTTCATTAGAGTTGTTCTAGATGCTGATGGTTTGGGGCAGGAAGGATTTCTTGTAGCAGTCCGTCCCACAGCAGGTTTGAAGAAACTGACTGCAGATGCCGATCCGTCCACCCAGACCCTGCAGACCTCTTGTCCTCTTGGGCAGCAGGACTGCCTGAATGCCGGCAGAACTCCTCCCCAAGCAATGGCCATTTCTTGCAGCAGACTGCTGAGCCTCTCGTTGCTGTGGACTTCATTGCAAGTGCCAGGGGACGATCTCGGTCCTCCTGCTGTTTTAAGCTGTGGTCAGGCACTCTAGCACAGCCTCCAGGTAGACGGTAATGCATCCACGGCACCTCCTTTTCAACTCATTTGGGATTTGGTGCTGTAGTTGAGGTCTTATTTGGGCTCTTGAGATGTTAATCAGCAGCTCCCAGTTGTGGAAAACCAACTTGTTGTTATGGTTACACATCATAACAAATGCCCAAATGTAAAAAAGGTTTCAGTAAAAATCCTTCCAGTGGCACAGCCTCTGATACCAGAGGAAGTAATCGTCCGAAAAAAAAAATCCATAAAAATGTGTAATTAAAGTTTTCAAAAGCAAAATCTCAGTATGAATGTAAGAGAGCTACTCCAACCACTTTGAGCGGCGCAATTCTGGAATAATTAAATAATTTTCTATACTTGAACACCATTTCCTTTGTACCTGTTAATATACTCCGGCAGACAAATGTTTGTAATGTTGATGGAAACTTAATAGAGTTAAAAAATAATAAATAAATAACTAAATAAAGACACGACCGGCTCCGTGCTGCCCCCTATCGGCAGGCTCAGGCCGGTGCTTCCCCCTATCGGCAGGCTCAGGCCGGTGCTGCCCTCTATCGGCAGGCTCAGGCTGGTGCTGCCCCCTATCGGCAGGCTCAGGCCCCGCCCCGCCTCGCCTGTCCATAACCCCAGTCGGTGGATTGACGCTGGAAGAGCGGAGGAGCTGGAGCGAGCGGCACAGGGGTCGGCGGCTCCTGCGTTCGTCCGACACTCAACTAGAGCTGCTTCCAGGCGGTAGTGGTAATGATGGCGGCGGCTGTAGAGAGAGGAGGCGTCCGGGCCGCTTTCCTGAACCCGAGCATCGGAGGCAGTGGCGGACCCGCACCGACTATGCCCCCGGTCGGCGGAGCGCCAGCCGGGGCTGTGGTCGTGGGCTCGGGCTCCGCCAGTATGCCCGTACCCATGAACCTCTTTGCAACCTGGGAGATAGACCGATCGTCCCCGAGCTGCGTCCCGAGGTAATATCGTTTGTGTTGGCGTAAACTTCCACTAACCGCATTGTTTGCAAAACACCACATTTAAAAAATAAAAAAAGAAGCGAAGCTATTGACGAACAACGCCCACATTTACAGTTATGAGAAGCCGCGGGAGACGAGCTGCCTCGCATTCCCAAAACATCGCTGGCTTAGCTAACTGCTAGCTAGGTGGCTAACGCTACAAATAACACTGCTCTGTTCTGTGCAAAATACATCTTATTGTTTATTTTAAAAGGACGTGTTGTGCTGTATTGATCGATGTAAAGTGTTAACATTTGGACCCAGTTCTTAGCGTTGTCTTTCAGGCTTTTTTATTATTATTATATTACGGCCGTTATGACGATAAGTAGCTAACAAAAGTTGACAGGAATCGTCAGTTGGAATGGATTCAACTGCTCCTTGTGTACGTTAATTTTTAAAAATTGGTACTTTAAGATGGACTGTGCGTGTTCGATTAAATTCACGGCATGCATGCCACCCAATCCGTCTGTAAATATAGTGGCATGGATTCCTCAGCCAGTCCCTTCATCGTGCTCCATATACACTTCCAGCTGTTTTGTTCTGGACAGTCCAGCCTCTGAGGGTTCAGGTTCAGGTAGAAAACCCATCACAGCAGCAAACCTGTTGTAGCAAATAGTGCACTTTAAATGAGGCGGCGATCCAAATGTTGTTCTGAAATGTGGGTATGCACTCGACGTAAACAAAACGCGTTTATCTGGATTTTTACTTTAAATTTGAAAACAAACACGCACCAACCAATACATGGATATCGTTGGACTTCTCCAAAACAAATGTCTCCTTCGTGGACGTCGCTTCGTCTCTTTCTGAAGGGAAACGAATGCGCACGGTAGTTGGCAGCCATTAGTTATAAGTTACTATAAGTTTTTAAAGCAATAACAACTGTCAAAATATTAGATTTTTCTGTGTTTTTCATATGAAAACAATGATTGTTTAGGGGTAAATAACTCAAACTCGTGAGTTTTGGTGAAAATGGGATCAGGAAATGGTAAATATTCCTTGCCCTCAACAAATACATTTGTATTTCAGAATATCTCGGCACAACTTGTTTCCATATGATCCGACCGAGCTCCAACATTTGCTCCAACACTCTCCCCAAAATCACTCAAGTTGTGTCGACTCGCCCACTCAGCTTTTAGTCGTCGTTTCTGCTCAGAAAAAGTGAGAACTTTACCGTTTCTAGTTCAGCCTGCTGTTCCTGATTCAGTCGTTTGGATTATGTTTACTTCCAGGGATAATTTTACCAACAATGTATCAGAGACTGTCCACAGTGTACTCAACAACGTTCAAATGTAAACAAATGACTCGTTAATTGTTGGCAACAAAATATGACTCCTCTGATTTGGCTCATTACAAACTCTGCTCCATACTTCTGGTGGTGAATGATTCATATTAATATTTATGCATCCATCCATTATCATCCGGTTGTTCTGGACTCGGGTCTCGAGAGCAGCAGCTTGAGCAGGGAGGTCCAGACATCTCTTACCACAGCTTCCAGCTCCTCTGGGACGACTCCCAAGTCGTTCCCAGGCCAATGTCCCCGGGGTCTCCTCCCAGTCGGACATGCCCGAAGCACCTCCCTAGGGAGGCACCCAGGGGGGCATCCTTCCCAGATGCCCGAACAACCTCAATTGGCTCCTCTCAATGTGGAGGAGCAGCGGTTCTACTCTGAGTCTCTCCTGATAGCTGAACTTCTCACCCTGTCTCTAAGGGAGAGTCCATCTACCCTGCAGAGGAAACTCATTTCAACCTCCTGTATCCACGATCTCGTTCTTTCAGTCACTACCCAGAGCTTGTGACCAGAGGTGAGGAACGTAGACTGATGGGTAAACAGAGAGCTTTGTCTGACAGCTCAACTCCCTCTTCACCACAACGGACCGGTACAGAGTCCACAATACTGCAAAAGCTGCTCCAATCCTTCTGCCAATCTCACGCTCCCTTCTTCCCTCACTCGTGAACAAACACCCGAGATACTTGAACTCCTCCACTTGAGGCAGAACCTCGACCTGAAGAGAGCAATCCACATTCTAAAAGAAAACGTACATATTTTGACAGCTAAAATGACTTTAATTAAGGATGCATTAATAATACGAGAACAAATTCTAGCACATTTCTACTTTTTTCCTTTTTATTCTTTTACAGAGCAGAACATTCTCTAGGGATACTCGAATCACAGTAATACTGTTCGAACGAAGGATAACAAGAAGTGTGCACGGCATAATGAATTAAGAGTGAAAGTATAATCAAATAAGAATTTCCCTCTGTCGTTTGTTCTGTTGTGTGGCCCCATTTCAGCCCATTAAGGTTTGGTTGGTGGTTTTCGATCCGTCCAGTTCACTGTCATCATTTTCTTAGCGATCGGTAGAAAGGGTTGGGACGTGGAAACATTAATCAGCTTTGACCTAGATCTGCTTGGGATAGAAGTGGGCCTGGGGGGGGTCTGCTTCTGCACCATCGATGTGCTGCATGATGCGTGCGTTTGCTTGTTGTCGCTTTAGTCCCTGCACGGGCAAGAGGTGGTCAATGTATCTGATATTAATGATTTTTTTGGTTGTTTGATTAATTATTAATATTATTATTAAGAAATGCATATCGAAGGCCCTCGCCTCATGCCACAGTTTCATTTTGAAATCATATATTGATGGGAAATAGTGGAGCCATTTTGCTCCAACCACTGAATTTAAAATGATCTCATGTGAAGTCATACTCGGCGTACGTGCTGTGAATGACTCTCAGCTACTACCTTATCAAACTTTAACTCAAAACCTGTACAACTGATAGAATTATAGCCATTTTACTGTTTTTAAGATTATAACTGCCATATCAAAGTGGGTTGTCTTTAAATGTTAATCACTTGTAGAGCTAGTTATTCATTAACTTCTGAAAGTTTAATTAAAATCCATCCAGTTATGAGATATTTTGTTAACAGACTTTTGGTGGTGAGCCATTAACACCGTCCAGGTTGTTATAACTCTGATGATAAACTCAACCGGTGTTACCGTTCATTTCTGAGATGTCCGTTGTTCCAAATGTGGCCCTCGTTGACATCTCGTCTGGCCCCCAAGATGACGTTTGAAATGTAAAATACTTTTATCACTTTATTTTTTTCAGTGATCTTTGATTATGATGTCAAAAATGCAACAGAGAACGTCAAATGAGACCAGTCAAACTTTAGTTGAGGAACCTGCAACCAAGAAAAGATGTCGGTGTCAAACCTGAGTTCATGTAGATTCTGAAAGTGGCCCTTACTTTGAGAGGCTTTAATTTTGGCCCCCTTTTGTGAGTTTGATTGTTCTAATCCGTCTTTTATTAAACTATGCATGTGTAAAATTAATTTAAGTTAAAAAAGAAGTTTATAAATGATTAATTCCACATCTTGTCTTTGTTTTCTTGGAGAGAGCATTAGAGATGCTTAATGTCCCTCATATTGGTCCCATCATTTTCTCTGTAGTGGATAATGTTTTCTAGATGACTGTGGATGATGATGTATTATTTATGAATCACTCAGTAAAAACTTCTCATCAAGCTAACGCAGATCACAGCTGCATTGTCCCTTAGATCTCTTGCAGAGTAACTTCTACCTTTTCTGCTGCTTGGCTGGTGTGAAAAGTTCTGGTTCTGCCGAGAGGCCGATCTGTTTTGGGGTGGTTTAGCTTCAGCATTCTTTTCGGGGCTGGGTCATTTTACGTGCAGCTGTTCGCTCCACAAGCTTCTGGCAAACGTGGATGTCCAGCTGAGAGTCACGAGTTCAGATTTAAGCTGTTATATTAATTGAGCTTGTGTGAGTTGGCCTTTTTTATTGTAATATGTAACATCGTACAAATCAACTGATGATTAGTCTTGATGAGCTGATTTAAACCTCGCAGAGTTTGAATGAAATCTGGTGCACGCTGGACAATGCGCTGTCAACTTTCAGAGTTCGTTTCTAATTTCTGACCGTTGGTGACTCAAGAGTATGAGGAAAATATTCTAATTCTTTGTTGGAACCTCAGCGAATTCTGTAAACAGGTCTCTCTTGAAAATGAGTTCTCGTGGCTCAATGAGACTTCCTGTATAAATAAAGGGTAAATGAAAAAAAGGACAATTTTTAAAATTCATTTTATAAATATTTATTATCTTTGTGGTTATGAGACCTGGACATTATTGAGGTTCTGCGTCCCAGCATGATTTCTGTCAGAGGAGAGCTGGCATGCAGGTGTCACAATACAGCTCTAGGATTACAGAAACTAAACTGAGATGGGTTTGAGAAGCCAAGAACAACTTTGTGACTATTTGGAGAGAAAATGCGTTAAACATCTTCAAAATTCAAGCACCAAGGCTGCGACCTGCTCAATGAAACTGGGAACGCCCTGTTAATGTTTTGGGATACAGTAGTCCCTCGATTATCGTGGGGGTTACGTTCCACACACCCCCACGATAGGTGAAAAACTGTGAAGTAGGAACTCTATATTTTAGTATTTCTATATATTTTAAGGCTTTATAAACTCCACACTCTTGCAATGTTCTAAACTCTTAAACCGACCAGTACGTCATTTTAACAAGATACGTAGATGTACTGCACAGCAGCTACTGCAAATATTTATATGGCTACTCACCTGCCTTGGTCTGGTTCTGATTGGCTCTCCGCAGCCGTTGAGCACCAGACGCTTTTGTAGAGAGCCGGACCTTCGGATAGCCTGCACAAAACCACACAAGGGTCCAGATCGAGTCCAGTCCGGGTTAGCTCTGCAGAAGACACCGGACCTCCAAACAACGCCTTCCTGCTCGAGAGGCTTCCTGGGCCGGCAAGCAGCACTCAGACTGACCGATGAGGCTGGAAGTAGTTCTGCTCCGATTCCAGGTCGGTTCTGTACGGCTCTCTGCATCCATTGAGCACCAAAGTCACTATGAATAAGGAGCGAA